CGCGCGAGCGGCCCTCGCGGGGCCGGGGTTCCTTACCTGCGGCCCCCCGGCCGGGGCGGGACAGGGGGAGAGGGGGGAGAAGCCGCCTGTTGACGGCGGAGACCAGACACTTGACGGGCGCGAGCCTCCTTTCCACTCGCTGGGCCGAGGAGGAGCCGCAGGATCCCGCATCTTCCGCTTTGCTGACCCTGTGGGCGGCTGCAGCCTGGAGGGAAGGGTGCTGGTTGCAGGGAGATGCTGACTCCTCCTCCCGCCTTTTCTCCATCCTTAGCCCAGGCGGGAGCAGGCTTGGGCAGGCGGTGCGGTGGAATCGGAGCCTGGATCGGAGAAACGGGGTCCCGGAGGAATCGCGAGGGTCGGTCTGGGTTGCGTCCTTCTGGCTTTCCGAAGTTCTTCACGCCTGCTTGTGGGTTTGGTGGCTGGGATCAGGATCTGGTGGGGCACGAGAGAGCGGACGCAGGTGGTTTCAGAGGGTTCAGACCTAAAACCTGTGGCGAATTATCAGAGCTTATGTAATTGCTGTGGAGGCGCGGAGGGTTCCGATCATGTGCAGAGTGCTCTGCTCTCACTTTTGTCACCGCAGCGACCTCATTTACAGGCCAGAAATTTGGCCGAGCCGGTCTCCTCTGCAAGAAAACTACGAGTTTTTATTTGTGGTAACAAAAAGAGATCCATAGACCATGCTTTTGCTTCCAGGGTGTGATGATGTTAGTCATTAGTTACATTCTAAGCTTACTCTTGGTAGCTGTTTTTACTCCAAGGATAAGCCTTGGGACTTGTGATGTAATAGCAGAACTCAAGAAGATCTCAACCCCCCCCCCCCCCCCCCCAGTAAACCTAACCAGCATCATAACTTGGGTTTGGGCTTATCACCTGTCAGGCATTAACCTTGAGCAGGTCAGCCTTTTCATTTGAAAAATAAATAGTTCACCCATACCCCCATTTGATAGCCTCATTAATATTATTTAATAAATTGCAAAAAAGTTTATTCCTGCTGTCTTTTTTTTTTTTTACGAGGCTTTTAATCCTTTTCTCTCACCAGTTACAGCATCTGAGTGTTCTTTCTGGTTGCCAGTTCGGATGTGCTAAACACACAGTGGTTCTATTGCTATTGTTGACTTACTATAGTAGACTTGGTTAATATTAGGAGTAACAGAACAGATGGCCAGCCCCACCATTGGACAGAGGGAAGTGGTCACTTCATGTACAGCAGATGCTTGAGGTAGAGAGAAATGGCCCAGTGTGAGAAACAGCTGAGGATACCATTCCGTCTGTCCTGAGTCAGTGTAAGTTGGAAGCAGATTACTGAGAGAGTTATTGCTAGAACCTAATTTAAATTAGGAAGGATTTCTGAGTCCAGTTTGTTTAACAAGGGCAAAGCAAAATTTCCTGTCCTAATATTTTTTTATTATTATTGTTGGTCACTCAGTCATCCAGTTGTTTAGACTGAATTTGGCATTTTTTTTCCCCCACCTATTGAGGCCTTCCCAAGAACCTGGGATAGGCAGATGTTGTTTGATGGTGTTAAAGGTATTGTTGCAGGATGTAAGTTGTTCCAAGTAAAGCTGCCTTTTGCAACTGGCTGATGGTGATTTTGTCAATGCTGAAAGTCTTCAAGTGGTACTCCAGATGTTTTGGGATTGCACCCAAGGCACCTACACTATTACTATTGGTACTGTCTTTGCTTTCTTTTGCCACAGTCGTTCTATTTCTATTTGCAGATCTTTGTATTTTGTGGTTTTCTCCAGTTCTTTCTCTTCTTTTCTGCTTTCTCCACGTATTGCAGTGTCCGCTATCCAGACTTTTTTGTCTTTCCTATCAACAGTTGTTAAGTCTGGGGTGTTATGTGGCAGCTGCTTGTCTGTTTGAATTCTAAAGTCCCAGAGCATTTTAGCTTCTTCATTTTCTATTACTTTGTCTGTTTTGCAGACCCACAAGTTTTTGCTTGCAGGCAAATGGTATTTCTTGCAGATATTCCAATGCACTATTGTTGCTACTTTGGCATGTCGTTTTTGTAGTCAGTCTGTGCGATCTTCTTGCAGCAGCTAACTAGGTGGTCCACTGTTTCTTCAGCTTCTTTGCAGAGGCAGCATTTGCTGTCTGTTGCTCTCTTCTCAATTCTGGCTTTGTATGCATTTGTTCTTA